GGTTGTTGCTTTTAATTTTAACCAAAACAGATTAATTCTTTCTGAACACGGCTATGAAAGTCTGAAGTAAGTATTTTTCCTCAAGAAATGTTCCCAGTGAAGCGTACTTCTAAGGGGTAAGTTGTATTCAGTATCTGTAAGTATCTGGAACTGCAATTCTCATGCTTGCAGTCAACAAGGTATTATTTTACCTGTACTTGTTAGCAGCATTTGGGGCACAGCCAACTAACAACGCACAGAAAAAAATTCCATTTGGGCCCACTGGTTGTAGATGTTAAGAACCACAAGTGGTATTATAGTATTACTTGGGCAGTGCAGGCAAGGATATATATCGTATTATAACAGTAAGCCTGCAGAGATGAACAAGTTGAGTGTTCTGTACTGACCCAACACGCAGTGTTCAAGGAGGGCGATCTTTGTCAATTACGTAGGCAGTAGAGATGATGTGATCCTCACCGTGCAAGACATTGATTATGACTCCTGCAATTTTGAAGTAAGAATGACAGTAATTTCAACAATCTTAATATCTGTTATCACTTCCCAGCAAGATGACGTCAGTCTGAGCAACTTGTGGTCAGTACTTCAAATGTAACACTTGATCTTTATTTGCAATGATACTATAAAACAAATGACAATTCTTCTAGAATCCTCTTTTTGCAAGAAAAAAACTCACTTTAGAATTTACCAAGATCAAATGTCTTTAAAAAATAACATTTTAAATTGGCATTAAATCTCTATTCCCATAAATACTATCTGCTTCTTGCAAAGACATGCACCAAAATGATTAGTTTAAGCTTTTGTAAGTAATTTCTCTGTTAGACTTTCCTGCTGATGCTGAACGTTTTGAAATTATTTGTTTGTTCTTAGTTTAGCAGAGTCTCAAAATGTTTGTTCTGTGCACTCAAGTAGCTCTCAATCTCCAAACACAATAACCACATCAGCCACAGGGCTCCAGCCTGCTGAATTTGCTGTGCCCATATCAGCAAAGAGTATTCTGACCATATCAGCAAAGGGTATTCTGAAGTGCACAGACTGACCTACAAGCAGAAACTCAAAGAGCTGTTTCAAATTCAGCAGTTGGTGTTAAGGTGTTAAATTTTATTGTTAACTCTACCAACACCTTTGTAGGTGTTTGCATGAATTGAGCAGTCATGTAGGAGCCTGAAATTTTTTTAGAGCAGGAGTTTTTCAGCCATGGGCCTCCTCTACTCTTGGAAATACCTGTAACTTTTTGACTGGTAATATGAAAAGTCTTGAGCTTGGACACAGAAGATAAAGCAATGGCAGAAAAGTTAAATTAAATTGCTTTGATTTCAGATATTCACTGCAGAAAAACACTTTCCCATAGTGGAAGCTTTCTTTCTAGGAAGCAAATCAGATCATTGAAGTCCATAAAGAAGAGGTTTTAGAATAAACTGGTGAAGTGACACTGATCAGGCACTGTCCACCTGGAAATTCTGAAGGAAATCAGATATGGACCTGATGAGCTAGAAATGCGTGGAGGGTGTTTTGCCATAACAGGTGTCCAAGGAACAAAGAGTAGCAAATATGCCAGTTTTAAAGAGCACTTGAGAGGACACAAAGAAGCTACGAACCTGTCTTACAGAAAATTAGTAGAAATGATAATAAAAAGAATTAATAGACACCTAAAGAAATACATAATGAAGAATAATCAGTTTGACTTTTTGTAAATGGAAGTTGGGCTTCCCACATTTTTTGGGGTAGTGACTGAACAGGTCAAATGAAGCTGGATTAAATAAAATTCTACCATTGGGGAAGCTCTGTTGTCATGTGAAGAAAAAGAGGATCATCATCTGGACTGACACAGTAGTTAAAAGGTGCAAGTGGGGAGAAAGAACGGATATATCCCACAAAGGAAGAGTTGGGTAATCCTGCCATACTCAGCAGTGTCTAGATTTGCATTCATTTGTGCAAGAGGGAAAGGTGCTAGTATGTGAGCCCTGCTTGTCTATGACAAGGAGAAAGCCTGATACAGCTGGAGGAGTATCAAACGAGTCAAACTGAACACTAAGGTTTCATGAAAGAGCCAAAGCAAAGTCAAATGTTGGGGCAACAGATCCCAGCACCTATTTCCAAATTCCCAGACAGCAGCATATCTGGGATTTTTATGTTTTTGTAGTCATTCTATAATTTTTGAGACACCAAATAACCATTTGCCTCTAGCACAGAAATCTCTGCAGTGAGCCTGTTCTTAATATTATAAGTAAATCTTGGCCATCTGCTTTGATATAAATCCAAATCATGGAATAAAATCTTTTTATAAGAAACCCAAATGGAGTTAATGGTGATTTTGGCCTTCTCTCCAAGTGATGTTATCTATCTATTTCATGATGCATGCTTCTGTACTCAGAGGACTGCTATCCCCCTGCTATCTGTGCTGAATTCTTTCCCGTTCAGTAGAAATTATCTGGAAAAGGGGTTGAACAGGCTTGGCTGAGGAATACAGGTTCTCACGATACCAGAAACAGGGCAAAAGAAATGTTCAGGTTGCAATTAAAGCATGCTCACAGTGCACACTAAAGCTTTGTAACTGATTACCTCAGGTTCCTGTGGAAACAAAAAGTATTCTGGAGTTCAGGAAGCAATTAGACAAATACCTGGGGGGAAAAAAAAATCATTGGGATATATTAAATACAAAGATATAGATACCTTATCTGTCTCAGGAAGATCCTAAGATGCAGTGTGAAAAGTTGAGGAGTACATTGGAGGAGACCTTAGAGTCCTGGACCTTTTTTTACTCCTTTCCACCATGAGACAAGGGCTATGGGGCTAGATGGGCTGTTGATCTGATGCAATACAACAGTTCTTATGTGCATATGTTTCCAGCAGAGATATAAATAATTGCAAATATCACTAACCATTTTCATAAACTAAGCACAAGAGGCAAGAATAACTTCTAAAGCTTTCTGTCTATCCTTTTTTTATTCAGGTTAGAAAAGAAGTTGGGGATGTTACTATTCTAATCAATAACGCTGGCATACTGCTTGGGAAAAAGTTTTGTGACATTCCAGATGCAGATTTTGAAAAGACCTTAAGAGTCAACTTCCTCTCTCAAGTCTGGGTAATGTATTTTTTTCACTCCCGGGTGACTGAAAGGTACAGGCAAGTATTTTAGAGGTGGCACCTACCTGGGGAACCCGATTTGGAATAGGGATTGGAAGGGCCTTGAATGCAGGAAGATACATTTTTTTAATCATCCTATAAATGGAGACACACCAAATTGCCAGTCTCCCCACTATGTCTCAGTAATATTAACACAAACCTGCCTGGACACTCTGGTAAGTCAAAAGTTTGTGCAACCATATTGTGAAACATGCTTTATCTGTAACAGCTGTGGCTGAAGTTAGTGCTGACATGATGGCATATAACTTCCCTGCTCCTGATGTTTGCTGGTATCAGAATGCTTTGTCTAATAGACTTGAAGCATTCCTGGAGGCACAACGATGGTTTAGTGGTGGACTTGGCAGTGTTACATTTATGGTTGGACTCGAGGATCTTAAAGGTCTTTTCCAACCTAAATGATTCTATGATTCTACACTGAACGTGTTGGTGTCAGTCTTCAGGTTGTGCTTTCATTCCTAGTCACCGTGTGCTTAATGTACATAGAAAGCTAATCTGGATAGTATGTATTATCTTTGCTTTGTTTTCATACCTCTGAAGGAATTTGCTGTTATTTGGGGTCTCAGTCGACCTTTACGAGGTTTTGTTGAGAGGGAGTGTTACTTTTGCCCCCTCTTGAATTTGCGGTTTACATGCCTGAGTGAGCAGCCTGCATCAGGGGAAAATGTGGCATTGCAGCTCTCTCACTAAATGGCATTTCTCAATGGAAAATCATTGCAGATAGAAGTCCTCTAATCATTTCCCAGCCCACAGTGCATCATTCTTCCAAATACTTGAAGCAAAGGGACTGGGAGACCTGCTCCTCCTGACAGGTCTGAAGAGACATAGGGCAGGAGTAGAGTGACAGTGGGCCCTCAACCAAAAAGACGTGTACTAGGCATACACATCTGGAGTCAAACAGGCATTGCAGCACATCTCAGCTATTGAAAAAATTTTGTTACTGCTCTTGTCTTTTTTCTTATCTCCCCCCTCATAAAACACTAGCACCTTCCTTATATAGTTAGTATCACCCACAGTGGTGGTCTGGGGTGCCGGAGTTGTCAGGCATTTAGGTTTGTAACAAATAGGGCCCACAGACAGCTCAGCTCCCCTTGATGTGTTAACTTCTAGCTCCCTCTTGTGTACCAAATCTTTGGTAACAGTCAGAGGACTCAAACTGTGAGGAAACAGGAGGCAGAGAAAATACAAACTTTGCTGCTTTTAATAACATGATTTTAATGCTGATGGATCTGCAGAGAGAGGGCAGTCATTCAAGGAAATGCCATCTCTCATTTGTAAATTCTTACAGAGGTAGAAGGTCAGTTTGGCTTCTTGTGTATTGAAGCCCCAGAAAGCAAATCGGGTTGTAAAGCCTAATTTGGAATGCAAAAAATTTTGGCATGTCTAGTATAAAGGGTTTTTTTTATATGTCTTTTAGACTTGCAAGGCCTTCCTTCCAGCCATGATGACCTATAACCGTGGACACCTGGTTAGCGTAGCCAGTGCAGCAGGATTGTTGGGAGTCCACAGAATGTCAGGTTAGTATCATCAAGTGCCATTACAAATTAGATTTACATGCTAAAAACTTTTCATGGAGATCTCATAAATGCTTGGCTTAAGCAGTTTGTACTGTCATATTGAACACTCAGGAAGAGCCTGTGGGTACAAAAGGTGGTGGTGTATTGAAGATGATGGTGGCATGTTGCTTGAGTGGCACGCGGACCTCACTGCAGATTTTACTGTCTGACTGCAGCTTGTCTTATCTCCACAGAAGGACAATACAGCTCCTATGTGTGCAGCGGGAGGGAGCCCTACATACACGTTGTCTAACACTTTCTCAATGCCAGGTTTCCTGCAGATGAGTGTTCAGAGCCCTGAGACATACATGGGTTATACCTGTAACTATACATTTAGTTGGAAAATGGTTTTCAGGTCCAGAAGGCATTCTGGCAGAATTTTCATTAAAATTAATTTGAATGAACTGCGTTTTAAGCTATTAAACACTGCCATGTTCTCAGTTGTTTCCCTCAGGACAGCTGACTATTTCATCAGCTTGGGTCTGCTGCCCGGTCTCTCCTCAAGCCTCTCTGACATCCTGATCATATCTCTTAGGTCACTCTGTGAGAATGTGAACTTCAATGTAATAAGTATCTCTTGTTTCTTCTGCTGATTGATAGTGTTACTGTAGTGTTTATTTGCCACCTGTTATTGTTGGGTCAGATTCGGTATTGATAATAGGTCATGTTCGGCTTCTATCATTTAACTGTAAGGTTTGTAAGAGTGGACCTGCGCATCCACGCATTATAACTTTTTACATTTTTGCTGTGCATTTTTAAGTTGTATGGTTCCATCATCCACTATGGGTGAATCTCTGAAGAATAACAAACTGTCTCTGATGCCAGTTTTTGAAGTTACTCTTTTAGCAAAACTGGATTTCATTGTATCTAACAACCATTTTCACTCACATTTGAAAAAGCCTTAGGAAACCACATGTAAATTCCTATATTAAAATAACGTTCTTACAGTTGCAAAATTGTAGAATAATTTAGGTTGGAAGGAATCTCTGGAGGTCATTTGGTCCATGTCCCCAAATAAAAGCAGGCCCAACTTAGATCAGGTTGCACAGAGCCTTGTGGGGCAGCCACATTTTTATTCTCTCCAAGGATGGAGTTCCATATATTCATCAAATAATAAAAATCAGACAAGATTCAGTCTTTCCAGGCAAACAAAATGATATAAGATATTCTGAAGATATCAGAAGAAGAAGTAACAGGTTGAAGCAGCATTTATAAGCAGGGTATTTAGATTTAACCACTAGAAATAGTTCTTACTGAAATGTGAGCTGTGATATTAAAGGATGAAGACATTCTGAACTGCAAGAATGCCTGGCTTGTACATGAGTATCTGGAAATGTACATAAAATGTTGAATAAGCTCATCCTCCTACATCTCCCTATAGTGTACTGAAAAAAAGTCACCTGTAAAGGATTAATCTTATCCTTAGACAACTGTGCCTCAATCATGGGAAGAGCCATTAACCTTCAGAGTTAGCATCACCAACATGCACAGCATCCTTAAAATACTAATTACAAGACTGCTAATTATATAACTAAGTAGTATCAGGGCTTAAATAGTATTACAAAACATTAAAATCTGTATATAACACTTACTGTGGTGCTTTTGACATATTTTGGATATTTCTTTCTTCACTTTTCAGATTATGCTGGAAGTAAATGTGCAATCATTGGAATGATGGAAGCCTTAGATTCGGAAATGTATCATGGAGGAAAACAAGGCATTAAAACCACAATCATTTGCCCTTATTTTGTTAACACTAAATTAGCTAAAGGTTTTCAAACCCAGTAAGTAAAACTTAGATCATGTGCTGTTTCATATGTAAAAAAAAAATAAAAATCACTACTCACTAGATATGCCATATTCAGTCTCTAGCTATTATAATGTTGATTTGCTTTTCAATTCAGTATTTTTGCCCTATTGGCACATGTCTCTTGACATAAGAATCCAAGTTTGTCATCCAATTAATAACTGACGTGCAAGAGGAACTGCATAATAACCTCCCAGTCAAGGAATGGTTACGGATGCACAGCAATATTTAAGGCAATCTTATTTGCCAGTAGAATGGGCATTGTTGAGGTTCTCTGCCCCAAGTACTTTTGGCACAGTGATTACAGTCATGGCTGTCATGATATCTGTGACCTATCATTATTAACTGTATTAGTAGGTATTATCTGAGCGAGAATAGCTGTGGTGGCAGTATCTGGTGGGTTGGTGTATTGTTGTAGAGATGGTAGACGCTGCAGGCACCGAATTAGCCATTGCAGTAGTGCAATACAAGTGCTCTGTTCCTGCTTCCACAAGTTCATCATCCTGTAGTAGCGTATATCGTGCAGAGCACAGTCTTTCTCCTGGCTGGAAATAGGCCTGGTCCTGACCTATTTAGCTGTCGTCACAACATCTACAGTAGAAAAGGAGGAGGTGTGCGGAGGGCAGAACTATTATGTGTAGAACAGCGTACAGTACGGCTCAGCTTGGAAGTTTTCAATGCCGGAATCACTGTGGGCATTAATTGCATGACGGTCGGAGCAAGGCTTGCACAAAAGTCACTAAAATTCACAACATCACCAAAGAGTTCTCAATTTATTTTGATGATGGCAGGAACAGAGAGGATTGGAGACTCCTTTTTAAGACTACTTGAGGTGAAGCGGGAAAATTCTTAAATTATTTAACTAAATTATTTCTCTGTTAGACTATGTCTCAAAAGTAAAGTTTTATAATTTCATAATGCTTTGTTTCTTGTTTCACCAGAAACCACCTTTTTCTTCCTGTTTATGATGCAGAGTATGTAGCCAGCAAGATCATGGATGCAATTCAAAAGGAAAAGTTTTATCTAATCATGCCTCCGACTTTACGCACTCTTGCTTTCAAACTGTAAGAATGTGACCCGTCTTCTACCATTGCCTTCTTTCCTTTGCCATATGCCTGCAAAATCAGCAGGAAAGTTTAGTAAAAACAGTCCTTTAATTAGTATTCCTGCAGTAAATCCAGTTATATTCACCCAATTATGAAGAAACAGTGGGTTTAGTTTTTAATAATCTGGGTGAATAGCATTTCTCTGGCCACTTCTGTCTCTAATATACATCTTAAGCTATAGTTGGGTATAGAGATTTCAAAAATTTTCCTGGGATGGTACACTGGACTAGAACTGTCTGCTTCCAGTAACTGCCTCCACCACTGGCTGGGCTTTCACAAAATGGCCTGGTCTGTCATTCATTTCCCCCATTTATAACATGGGAGCACCACATGTGTTGTTGCCAGACATTAGAAGTATTGAGCACATATAACAAATTTATCATTTATAGAGTGCATTTTTCTAAAAAAACATAAGGCTAACTCGGTGTTTGTCTCATCAGTCTTGTTCCTAGGAAAATGGTACTACTCTTTGAATCTTGCCTTAAGATTGCCAACAGCTTGGATAAAGCCTTTGGTCGGAAAAAAAAGGATTGAAACCAAAATATTCTGAAGACCTCAAGTGCTATCTAATTGAAAATTTTCAGTAAAAATTAATTTTGAATACGTTTATTCTTTGACAGAAAATTTGCTGCTTGTATGATATTTGACATTGGTCAGCATGTAATTTAATTCTTCGTAACTGTCTTTTAATCACTGATTTTTAGCCACAACTCTCTCTCTCCTTTCATGACAGCATGCTGCTTTTATCTAAGCTCTCAATAAACGTCATTAACACCAAGCAGGGATGTTTGACTACATTTCATACTCTGAATTCTCAATTTCTGAGCAAAATCTCAAAGCATGGGAAAAATGCACTACTGTTCATGCAGAAAGAAAAAAAACCACAAAGCATTTAACGTATTTCCCTTTCAGGGCCAAAATAGCACTGCAGTTCACACAAAGCTGCCATGAAGAAGGGCGCTGCGGGATGATGTGCTCTGGCTGGCGAGCTGCGTGGGGAGCCTGTGTTCTGAAGAGGAGTGAACTGCAGTGAGCGCTGATAAAGTTTGTGCAGTGCTGTGCCGCTTACCACGCTCCTCGTTAGTCACAGCACACTCCTCTAAACACAGTTCCACGGGAAGTGTGTGCCTCGGTTCTAATCCATGGCTAGAGGCTCATATCGGATCATTTATCAAAGGCTGTGGCTTAGAAAGAGCATTTGTAAAACTGTAGTGGCAGCAAAAAATCATGTGCCTACTCAGAAGGGAAAGATGATGAAGGCCCACAATCAGATGAAGCAGAGAGGAACAAATCCCTTATAGAAATTACTTATATGGTAATTAATTGCCTCTATAAATTTTGTAAAATGTTCCTACAACAGAGCAGTCGGATGTTATAGACATGGGCTCTACAGTGAGCATCTGCTGTGAGCAGCTGCATGGTGAACACTGGTGAAGTCCATAGGCATCTGACTCCCTTCTCTGACCCTATAGGGACCTACGTGGCTTTGAAGCACCCTGCTGATGCCAGCTAATCGGGTTAAGGTGTTGTGTCCCACGTTAGGCCCCTGAAGTCAGCAGCTGAATCTGGACCTGCAAACTGGTCCACACAGTTCTCTTAAGTCTCAGTGACCTCAGTAAAATTACTCAGACAATTGTTGACTTAGGAGTATTCTGAGGAATCTATGCAAGAAATCTTTGTTTGGCAGTTTCTGAGTAATTTTTGAAAAAAAACCAATTAAAATTTAAGATTACATAGGTATTATGTTAAGTGACCAAGAAACAACTTTGCATGGACTGTATTGCTTTCAGAGACTGACTTGTCAATGAGGTAGGCTGTTTGTTAGGGTGAAACATAACTCTGCTGTAAATCATGGGAAAAGAAATACAGACAGGAGAAATACCTCATGTATCGTTGAGCAATTATGGGACGGCTCTTGGGCAAAATCTCTTCTTATATTTGGAGAGAAGTCACATGCATCTCCTTCAACTGTCTCTAAATGAAATTACAACTTAAAGGTCCTAAAGGAAAAAGCTCCCCAATAGCAGAAGTTCAAAGATCGGTGATGCAAAAGTATGTGCTGGTACTTAATTGGCAAAAATCAATCCTCACGCAAATTTCCAGAAAATGCTAACATAAAACATTCATAATTTGTTTAATTTAAAAATAAATAAATAAATTGCAGACCAGAATAGGAAATGTACAAAGCATAGTTTACAAAACTCCACTGTAAGGAATTAGAGAACCTTGAACAGTCATGTCTTGCCCACATTTGTCACCATACTTTTATTGCACTTAACTAACCCCATACTTAAAAACTCCCTTCCAGCTGCAAATGCTTATAAGAGTGCACACTCCAATTAAAAAAATATTTTTTAAAATCCCAGTATTTTCAAAGTACACATACATTCAGCAAATTCTTTAATGTGCCCTGTAGATATTACTGGGAAAATTTTAGCTGAGAGAAGGAGAAAGCCATCTGAAGTTTGGCTCTTTGGAAAGCAAGGTTTATTGGTTTCTATTTTGAAAAGCTCTCTAGGTGATTAGGAATTGCCATATGCCTTTCCTCCTACTAATGAGCCAGGAACAAAGTCAAAATTGCTCCCTGCAAATAACAATCCTTTTTCTCAACTGCAAACAAATATGTTGAATATTGGGATTCCCTTATTCCGCATGAATGTTGCAATTTGGCTCCAGATGTATGATTGTTTTAAGTGTGGTTACAGGAGACCATACAAATTGGCATGACATTGTATTTGTGAATGTATTGTGGGCCTGAATATGCTTAAGACATAATTTCATTGCTTGTGCTGTAGAGCTTATGAACAGGGTTCACGAGGCGAAAGACATACATTTTACAATGCTTTGTAAAATGAGGCTCCCATTTGAAGTAGTTACCCATTAGTGACATTAAGATTTGGTGGACTAGCCATCATTAAAAATCTGGTATGTCAGGATGAAATATTTGCAGCCAAAGAGCACATTGTAAGGGCTCTCCTTTCAGTACCTTTTATTTTTTTTAGTTTCTTTAAAATAAATATGACCACCTCACGGCTGACATTGCAGTTATAAGTTTACTATCTATATACACAGGATGTGAGAAGATTAAGAATAATACAAAGAAAACAATGCTTTATTTTCTAAGCCATATTTCACCTACTCTGTACAGCCACCCTGCAGAGCCTTATTCTGTATTGTCGCAATCTCAGCCAAGGGCACCCTTTGGCTCCATTTCTTCTGGCTAATCTGCTTGTCTCAAGAAGGAATTTGTAAGGCTTATGCTTTCTAAGTCTCACAGTGATCTGTTAGATCTTCTTATCAGCCCTAGAAATCAGGAACTCATTCTTTTCTATGAAAATACCAGGAAAATATTTTAATTTTTATTTTTACAAAAAAGAAATGTGATGGATCCTGTAACACAATTCTAAAACTGTAAATCAAGACCTTCCTATTTAAGTTCAGAAGAAGCGCTTGGATGCCGTGCCTGTTTTTAATATAAAATCACCTTTTGTGTTTTGAAACATAGTGTGCCACTTAAGAAGTATCTCAGAGTTACTGACAACTCCTGAGAAATGTGTGTTTTCCTTCTTTGAGGCGTTCATCTTATTTTTAATTTCTCCACTTAAAAATGATGTTGCAGGGGAAATTCTGTTATTTCTGAAGGTGAAAATGGGACTGAAGGGCAGTTTATCTTCATTTTTTCTCCTTTGGGAGCAATCCTGGCTCTCTGTAAAACTGATGAAGAAGAGACAAGCAGATTAGCAGGATTAGCCATGGGCTGAATCTACCTGTGTTGCTGCATCAGTAGAGACATAATCTGTGGTGTCAGATAAAATACGATTTCTTGCTCTTGTTTTATACCCATTAGTACAACATACCTTTTCAGAGCATATTTTGCTTATGTAGGAAGTTGTAGAATCAGCTATCTTATAAAGATCTTTAATCATACTCTATAAGCATTCTGAGGAAAGAAACATTTGAATGATGCTGGGTCATCTTGTAATCTAACAAACATCTTTAAATAACTCTTAGTGGCAACCACATGCAACTTTAATTTCTCAGCAATTTCTGTAACCTCTTGGATATTTCAGTGCCACTCTGTGACACTCTCTGAGCACGTAAGCAAGGGCTCAGGTGGTTTCGGTGGTACACGGCACCCTCTGACTCCTTAACTCCAGACCATGAAGAAGAGAGAGAGGCTCACTGTGGGAAAGATTCCCATTAATTTCATTTAGTGTTGAAACACAGGTATGTTGCTTACTAGATACTAGGAGTTCCCAGTGTCACCTTATTCTCCTGCTTTATCAAGCAGCACTTCTGAAATTGGGGAATCTATTGCAAGACAGGTTAGAGTGGGAGAAAGAAAGGAATTTATTTCAGTAGGACAGCTTTCAGAAAAAGACACACCAAGATACTCAAAGCCAATTTGAGGCTAGTTTTATGTACTAACTCATAGTGAAAAGTGTATTTTTAAATTCTGCTATATTTGAAGTAAATCTTATTCATGTGTAGCTTGTATCTTCTTCTTAGCCTCTGTGTGGAACAATGTTTGGTTCACAGTTCACACAAGCAATGGGACAATTGTGGAGGAATAGGCTGGGAGTGGAAGTCAGGGAATTCCCTGATCCTCTGTCACTACCTTTGTCTTTGACCAAAAGGTTTAATCCCACTGTTCTGATATCCTCATATCTACCCTGGGAAACAAAGAAAATAGGGAAAGTGGCTTAAAGTATGTAGAAATAAACTGTCCCTATTTTTCAGTTACCAGCTGTGGACAAGGAGGCTTCATGTTTATACAATTTTTCAGGCTAACTAGAAATAGAATCTTCATCTTTTTACTTTTATACTTAGAAAAACATTCTTACTTTCTATATTATCTTATGATTTTCAATACTTAATATAATTTCATGAGGTAGAAAGGCCTAAATCAATCCAAAGAGCTCAGTTATTAACAGATCAAAATTCTACCTTGATTACTATTATGGATTTTTCTAGTTTCTTTCTTCATTCAATACAGTGCCTCTGTTCAATACTTCAGATACTTCAGGATGCCACAGGCTGCTAATAAAGGATGACTGTTTTAATTTAAAAAATAATGAATATAGATCTAATTGCCATTTACCATTGCACAGAACTGTTGCTGAAGCCAAATAAATGATCAGATGGCCATCCATTTCATTAACTAATCTCAGCTGGCAGCACTGCCTGAGGTAGCAGTGACTCACATAGACATGAGGCACTGCTCAATGCTTTCATAAACTCCGTGCTTCCCAGGTGTTCATTGATCACATGTATTGTCTCGGTGGAAGCAGCGTTCTAGCAGTTGCTCTGTCAACTACTCCATTGCTTCTTTCTCAGAAATGTGGTTAACAAATGAACACATTAATGTTTTCAATATGCATTTTGGGTGCCATTTAAGTCACTGTGCACCTGATTTCTTATTGCTGTCTGGTTTAGATGAATCATACACAGGA